GAACATGAAAACTGTCACTCTAGAGTATTATAGAATCGTTGATTATTACGAAACTTAATATAGATTTTCAAAATTAAAAATGTCAGAAAGGGTATGGCGAATTTTTTGAAGTTTTTTTCGACCTATAAGCGGAGATGTTTTATAGACATTTTTGGAAGTAGGGGAGAGTGGGGCAAAATGGGGTAGGCGGGTCAAATGGGGTACCTCTGTTTTTCCATGATAGGTACTTTTAATTTTTTTATCCTCGACATATATCATTCATGTTGATAAGAAACTGTTATTAATTATGAAGACACTCCAAAGAAAATTTTTTTTTGAAAGTTATACAACTTTTAAGTTTTAAGCAAAAAAAATATGAATTTTTTTCAAAATTGAAGTGCTTACCAAACTTTTTGGGACAATGCATTTAATTTGGCTAGTGTGGGATCTTTTTTAGTACTTATTCTAGAGTAATTTCCAATAGAATAGATTGTTTAATTGTTTACAATAACTTGTAAACATTGCATTTTGTTTTAATATGCAGTGTGGGGCAGAATGGGGTACCTAAGTGTGGGGCATGCCGGAAGCTACGCCGCTTCATTAAAACTATTTAAAAACATTATATTATGCATATTTAAAGGTTTCCTGCAGAATAATCAATATTTTTGTTTGGAAACTTATACCATCGATGTTTCATTATCGATATTTTGCAATATGGATGTTTTTTTTGTTAAATTCCAATAAATATTACTTGTTTTTTCATAGTAATAAAGAATCCTACTTTTTGTTTGTATTTATAATCTCATACAACAAGAATTTAATGAATTCTGAAAAAATATTCCATGTTTTGTATAGTTATTTGATGACACCCCATTTTGCCCCACGGGTGGGGCAAAATGGGATTTTAGCACTTTCTCAGAAAATACGATATAAGTTCTTTCAAAAATTTTTTTTTCCGCTATTATCATAATTTCCTCAAAGCTAAGTGTACAAAGAAGAATTCTGAAGTTTAGCTGAATCGATTTATTCATTTGGTTCTCTGTAAACAGCCAATTTCAAAAAGGTACCCCATTTTGCCCCACTCTCCCCTAATTAAATTCTTTCGACGAATTAAATTAAAATTGTACTGACAAAAATTGAATTCTTTAAAAGAATTTTATAAAAATTTTTAAAAATAATTGAAATTTTCTCTGAAGAACAAAAAATATTTACAAAAATATTGAATTCCTGTTAAGACTTTTATTATTTATGAAAATAATTGACATTTTGCAAATTGTTTCGACGAACTTAATTAAAATTATATTGAAAATAATTTAATACTTGTGTAGAATATTGATTAGAATTTAGAATTGATTAATATTTAATAAAAGTAATTGGATTCTTTCGAAAAATTTTATTAAAATTGTATTTGAAATAATTAAATTTCTGGGAAGAATTTTACTATTTATGACAATAATCAAGTTCGTGCATATATTTTATTAGAAATTTTGAAAATAATATATTATACTAATTTATTAATTAGTAAACATATATTTTTTTAATTTGAAAATTTTTTAAAAATTAAAGTTGATGTTTGAAAATAAACAATTTTGTAATTTAAACGCAAATTTTATAAAGTTCAATTTTTTGAAATTTTAACGTAAAATTATTAATTAAATAATTTATGAATAATAATATGATAGTTCTTTTAGAATTAAATTATTTAAAACAAATTCAATAGAGGGGCTGGATGCTATAAGGGGATTCGCGCCATTCACTTAACATGGCGCGTATCCCCTTATAGCATCCAGCTCCTCAATTTCAATTCTGTAAAGTTTAATTGTTGTTAGAAATTGAAAAAATTTAAAGTTAAATTGAATATTTTCATTCTTTAAAGACTGTTGAACAACAAAATTCTCAATGTTCTCGCTTTGATGAATTCTAGAAATAGAATATTTTTCCAGTACTTTTGATAAAATTCCTAGACTTTTCCCTGATTTTCCTGACGTGTGACAATCCTGGTGGTCGATTAAGTAATTTAATTTCTACTTTTACTTTCATTTTTATTTCTACTTTCACTTTCACTTTGATATATTTTTTATTTTTACTTTCATTTTCATTTTCACTTTGACAGTATTTTATTTTCACTTTTGCTTTTTAATTTCACTTTGATAATTTTTTTTCTTTTGTTTTCACTGTCACATTGATAGATTCTTATTTACACTTTCACTTGTAAGGAAAGAGAAAATAAAAATCTATCAATGCAATGTGAAAATGAAAGTGAAAATTAAAAATATATTGCAGTCAAAATAAAAGTGAAATTAAAATGAGAATAAAAATGTACTAAAATGAAAGAGAAAATGAAAGTGAAAATGAGAGTGAAAACGAAAGTGAAAATCTATCGAAGAGTTAATAAAATTTACTAACCAAGTAGAATATTAAAGTGAAAATGAAAATAAAATTCTGTCAAAGTGAAAATGTAAATGAAAATCTGTCAAAGTGAAAGTGAAAATAAAAGTGAAAATGAAAATAAAAATCTCGTAAAAATCAGTAAACGTGAAAATTAAATAGTGAAGTGAAAATAGAGTGAATAAAATAATAATTTCTAAAATAAAAAAATTAAGTAAAAAAAAGTGAAAATAAAAATAGAAATGAAATTATGTAATCGACCTTCTGTACAGTGGTCTAAATTTGCAATTTACTGTTCAAAAAAATATTGTTTTTTGAACAATATTTACGTACAAGTATTAATGGCGAAGTAATTATAAAGCCATTAAAAATAAATTATGATTTTTCAGCTGAAAATAAGCGAACAGTTTGTTTGTTAGCTTAATTTAAATTAAAAGTTATTTAATATTATTAACAAATTGTCTTTTAGTCAAACATTGTTTTTTTTTATCTTTTATATAAACACTCTAAATCTGAATCAATGAAAATTTCACTGATTTCAATTCAGTGAACGAGTTTTCTTTAATTCATCAGTGGAATTTCACTGATAATCAGTAAAAAAAAACACTGATTGCACAGGCACACAAAAAAAAAGGTCAAAACCCAGAGGTCACACCCCCCTATCCCCATGTTTTTGGGGTCGCTGAAACCGAATATGACCATGAAAAATTTTTATCATCGGCCATTTTCCCGCTACCACCCCCTTGCACCTGCTCCCGGGGGTTGGAATTTCAGTTTTAAAAAAAGTGGAGTAGGGTGTCTATTCCTATGTTTTTTGGGTCGCTAAAACCAAAAAAGACTACCAAAAACAAATTTTTCCCTCCCTTAACCCCCTACAACCCCCTTAACAACCCCGGGGTGAGGGGTCGAAATTCAAATTTTCACGAAAAGTCTATTACGGTGTCTAAACCTACGTTTTTTGGGTCGCTGAAACCAAAAAAGACTACCAAAATCAAATCCTTTCCACCCTCAACCCCCTAAAACCCCCTGCAATAATTTTTGATAATTAATATTTAATTTTCAATTTCCCAAAAATCGATCCGCTTTATTTGAAAAAAATTATTGCAGGGGGTTGTAGGGCGTTGAGGGTGGAAGGGATTGGATTTTGGTAGTCTTTTTTGGTTTCAGCGACCAAAAAAACGTTGGTTTTTCGTGAAAATTCGAATTTCGACCCCTCACCCCGGGGTTGTTAAGGGGGTTGTAGGGGGTTAAGGAAGGGAAGAATTTGTTTTTGGTAGTCTTTTTTGGTTTTAGCGACCCAAAAAACATAGGAATAGACACCCTACTCCACTTTTTTTTAAACTGAAATTCCAACCCCCGGGAGCAGGTGTAAGGGGGTGGTAGCGGGAAAATGGCCGATGAAAAAAATTTTTTATTGTCATATTCGGTTTCAGCGACCCCAAAAACATGGGGATAGGGGGGTGTGACCTCTGGGTTTTGACTTTTTTTTTTGTGTGCCTGTGTTGTCAATGAAATTTCACTGATTCATAAAAACAACTCGTCCACTGAATGGAAATCGGTGAAATTTTCACTGATTCAGATTTAGAGTGTAGATCATTAGATTTAATGAATCACTCATTAGATTTAAGCGATATTGAGCATAAACAAATTTTTCTCATAAGAAACGAGAAGAAAAACGATTGAAAAACTATTATTCGTTATTAGCATTAAAATAAAAATAAAAAATAAAAAAGTGTTTCATTAAGTTTTTTAAAAATTTATTTCTGAATGTTTCTAAAACAAATCCGCGAGATTTCGTCAAAGTCTGTGGTTGGAGATATTTTTGAACAGTTAATAGCAGATTCAAACCACTGGGCCCTGGATAAAACCTTATAAGACTCATTACTCGAGTTTTTTAAAGTCGCTGAGTATGATTTTGACACAAATTTCGCAAAATTCAAAATAGTGGATGCAATTAAGAAAATTTTAGATCACAGTTCAAGATTGCTATACCAATTCGGAGATTTTCAGATGAGTCTGAAGTCAATTTAAAATATAAAAAAATTCTGTTTTGTTTTATCGTTTTTAAAAACAAAAGAATAATGCGACAACACATTTTATTTTGGCCTCAAATTGCTGATTACGAATTTGAATTCCAATTTGCAAAATTCGAAAAATTGTAGATTCTTTTAATGAGTTTAATCCTGTAACTATATCAATTGAATTTATTATTTCTTCAATTCAGAAAAAAAGACAAGTTTCAATAACGCACCAAAAAGTATCCATAGTGAAATAAATTGCTTGTAGATAAAGTTATACTGTAAAAAAGAAATCTCCACAACCACTAACTTTCAGAGAACCGCAACTAAAAGAAAAATATAATGATCCATTAAAGAAGAGAAGAGAGGAGAAGAGAGGAAGAGGCGAAAAAGGAGAAACATCAAAACTAAATATCCCTAACGAGTTTAAATTGACCTTCAATCATTCCAAAGATACCGAAACACAATACCCAGTCAGACTCCAATGAGCCAATGCACCCAATCAACAAAGCGACCCAGAGTTGAGCTCAATCAGTCCTCCCGATCGAAAGTCTTGCATCTCCTGACACGTGAACTCTGGGGGTTTGAGAGTTGCAGGGCTTCGGTCGCAATTATCGGATGAGAAACGAGTTTAAGAAAGCAGCGGTGGCAGTTCGTGAAATCGGTGGTGGTGTGTTCTCCACTGCAGGGGAGCGCAAGCGCGCGCGCCCGCGTGCACCCCTTATCGAGTTCGAGAGGAAAAGCAGCGCTGGTAGGACAGACACAGAGGGTGGCAAATATACGATACCGGGGGGAAAATAGAGAGACAGAGATAGAGAATAGGCAACGACGTACAGCTTCGAAAACGAGCACCGCAGTGTTGCTTGAGCCTTCCTCTGGATGAGCGTCTCTCGAGAACCGAAAAAATCCAGCCAGAAGTTGCTTCTTCTTATCGCGAATGGTGTTTCAAAAGTGTTCGCCCCCAAAAATGCCGGGCAATCGAACTCAACGTAAGCGATGGAGGCGCTTTATTTAAAATCCGACACAATGTGAAAATCACAATATATCATAAGTGATGTGGTTTTTGACGCTGCTTCTCGCCTTTATGGCAAGCGGCGGCTTTGCGTGTCTCGATCATTGCCAATGCTATCCGGCCGCACTAACTGTACAGGTGACATGCACCGGTAAACTTCCTACGCTGGACCATTTGCCACACACGATTCGTAAGCTCAACATTGAAAGTGCTATGGAAACGGAGGTAAGAACGTTTCTTGACAATTTTGACAATTCATCATTAGGATTAACGAGTCTCCAGGAAATTGTCCTGAGTAATTGCTCCTTGAAAAATTTGAATGTGTCGTGGAGTGGACTCGAGCAAGTGCGGGAGTTAAATTTATCACACAATATGTTCGTAGAAGTGAGTGATGTGGGAGCTAGTGAAGCTCAGTGGCTGTGCAACGTGACGGTCCTTGACCTGTCTAGCAATCAGATTAGTGACATTGGTGACGAGGAATTGAGGACATTCGGAGGATTAACGTGGTTGAGGATCAGTGACAATGGACTTTGGAATGTGAGCGATTTGGCGTTCTCGGGTTTAAGTGTTCTTGAGGTGCTCGATCTTTCGGACAATAAACTCGCGACTCTGCCGAATAATGCATTAACGCCCCTAGAGTCGTTGCAAAAGTTGGACCTCAGCGGGAACCAATTGCGAGCGTTAGGCGCCAGATGGTTCGAGACTCTGGGAAGATTGAGAGAACTAGACGTTTCGAGGAACGGTATTTCACGGGCAGCATCTGGCGTTTTACAACCATTACCGGGTTTGTCGATTCTCCGACTCTCGGAGAATCCACTTCGGGAACGGGATGTTTCACTCTTGTTGGGAACTGGTCGACGGTTGGAGACGGTGGACGCCTCGCACACGGGACTGGTTCGCGTGCCAGCGGCACTCACGAGGTCAGTGCGGGCACTCCGATTAGCCGGTAACAAGTTGACTTCGATCCGCGGTGGGGATCTCGACAGTTATCCCCTGCTGAGACTGCTGGATTTATCGGACAATCGCCTGACAGTCGTGGAGGACGATGCCCTGGGGCGACTGGAGGTCCTCGAGGTGTTGAATCTGTCGGGGAATTTTTTAGCGATCGTGCCGCACAGTTTGCCCACCAGTCTCACCCAACTGCATCTCGAGCGCAACACGATATCCATTCTCAGATTCGGTGACTTTGACGGACTGTACAATCTCCGAATTCTGAAAATCAACAACAACAGGATAGAATCGATCGAAGAGGGATCGTTTAGCCAATTACCGACACTGGAGGAGCTGAGTGTATCGAATAACCCGATTAAAGCATTACCGGCTAATACCTTCAGTGGGCTAACTAATTTGATGAGGCTTCAGTTGTCGGGTTTGGGTTCCCTCAGTCGTGAGGAGCAGAAACAAAGGGACATGGCCTTTCCGGTTCCGACCCCGGAAAGATTGACGACCCTCGACGTCTCTCGTAGTCCCGTCCTCGCCGCACAACTTCTAACCGATGACGCTGCTCTATCGGCCTGCAGGAGCTTAACGGAATTAAATTTGGCCCACATCGACATCACCACCATTCGATCGGATCTCGTTTACGACCTTCCGCAATTACGTCGACTCGGCCTAGCCGGAAACGACTGGAACTGCACCACGGAATTATACTGGCTCGGCGAATGGATCAGACAACACGGAGAATTGGATGAACCTGCTCGTTGCACTGAACCATCACATCTGATCGGTTACCATCTGTCTCAAATGCCCGATCCTCCCACCCAAACTTCAATTTCACCTCCTATCAAACCGACCGCAAATTCAACCCATATTCCCAATTTCCCCTCAACCGTAAACAATTCCAAAATACCAGTTTTAAAAAAGACAATTACAACAACAACTATATCATCAGTCGAATCTCCTTTCATCAACAATGTCACCGAAACTCCAAAAATCAATCGACAAACCAGTTATACAAAACTAAAATCAAAAAAGCAAAAATCAGGCAAAAATTACATCAACAATAATAATATAATGCAAAAGGAGAATGTGAAAATTTCCAATAAAGTTCTCGGCAAGACAAAAATATTAGAATCAGAGTCACGTACAGAGGATGAGAACAACGATCATCATGATTCGAAAAAGTATAGTCAGCTTCTCAATGGGAAAATGGGTGGCACTAAAGAAAAAGACGTGCCCTTATCAAATGACGTATCAAATACGGTCGCGCAAGAATTGAGTGGACAAGTAACGGATTCAGGTGCTCGTGTGTCCGATGCATTATCAGCGGGTGCACATCCCGGTATGCTTGTGTTAGTTGGTGCTGCTCTTGGTGCTGCAGCAGCACTCACTGTTGTTTTATCACGTCGTGCAGCACCGATTCGTCGTCGTGATCAGTATCAACGTCAGGAAAACATTGAAGTTCACTCACTCACATCAACAATTGAGAGATGGTGACCGAATTCCAATGAACGTGCTTGATGAACTTCTCTCTCTTTATTCAAGACACAGGAAAACAATTCGGATATAATGTAGAGATCAAAGGGAGTTGTTGTTTTCTGTTGTTGTTTTTTTTTCAAATTCTCAATTCTCGTCAATCACAACTCGAGTTCAATAGTAATTTTTTACAAAATAAAAAATAACGACTATCTACAAAAAATTGTGTGAATAAAAATAAAAGTTCGCCAAATTTCACAAAAACGCGATCTTTTCAACTCATAACAATCACAAATCAACGCAAATTCCAACAAACGTATATATTTATATTATATATGTAATATATATTATAAATATATTAATATATATGTATATATAAATATATATAGATAAAATAGAAATATATATGTATAACCATAATCTCTAAATTTAAATCAGTGAAATATCAAGTGCAAAATGCTTGGAGACCCAGCAATTTTAGTAGGATTCTTAATAAAATTCTACCGTTTCAATAAAAATATAAAAAATTTGTTTATTAAAACAATTAAATCAGTGACAGAAATTTAATAGTTTAGGTAATAATTTTAATCAATTTTCGGTAAAATGTGACTGCACTTAAATATAAATCTTATCGAAATTGTACTGTTGATTCATTTTAACTATTTGACAATCAAATCTGTTGTACCGATTGTTGTTTAAGTAGATTTCTATTGTATTAACAATCGGTAAATCAGATTTTATTATAAAGTAGTGGAAACAAAGCCAATGTGCAAATTGAGTTAGATTTCCAGTGAAAATCAGTAATAAAAACATTAAAACAACTTTAAAAAAAGTACAATTACTATTTAATCAAATTTAAATTTAAATCTACTTTCCGAACAATCGGTGAATCGTGTTTAATTTTTAAAGCAATAATTTTAATCGTATTTGATAAAATATGACTGAATTAAGGTGAAAATATTAATATTATTAATATATATTAGTGAATTTGCTTTATTCAGAGCTTTTAATAATCAAATTTCTTACCGATTGCTAGTAAAGTAGAGTTTTATTTTATCAACAATTTGCAAAATAAATTTAGAGTAAAAATTACATGGAAGAAAGCTTTACCTAGAACAGTGATAAATTTCTCTAGAATAACAAAAATTTTAACTGAAACAACTATTAAATCTATTATTTATTTAAATAAACAAATTTATTTTACCAGCAATTCGTAAAACATATTTGAATATCTAATTAAGAAATAATATTACATGTTTTTAGTAAAATCTGAGTATAAATCTTACTTGATTTGTACAGTTCCTTCTTTCCGGGTGTTTAATGAGCAAATCTCTTTTATCGATTGCGGATAAAATAGAGTTCTATTGTACTAAAAATCGGTAAAATAGTTTTAATTATTAAAACTATCTGAAAGTAGTTAAAGAAATTGTACAAATTCTGTGAAATTCCCATTATGAATTATTTAATTTCATGATAAAACAAATATCTAGTTTACTAACAATCGGTAAAGCGAAAAAAATCTTTGAACCACGTAACTTTATTTTACACAAATTTACAGAGGAACAAAAAACTGAGGACGCACACTATTGTTTCTAATATATTTCTATATTTCGCGAATAAAAATTATAATTTTTTGAAGTTAGACATAATAATTAATTTAATTAATTAAAAGACATAATTATTACAATTAGTACCAGTGATTTACAATAAAAAAGACTATTTTACCGATTGGTGATAAAAACAGACATCTAATTTACCAATGATCGGTAAAGCAGAAACCTCTTTTATCGGCACAAATATAAAATTACCTTTTTCAATTTAAAATTAAATTCTACTACTTTAACAACGAAATATAATAAAAGTTTCACTGATAATATTACGGATTTAAATTCAGAGAATAAATATATATATGTATATATTTATATATATAGATGTATATATATGCATGTGTGTGTATGTATGTGTATAGTGACAATAATAACGCAGCGTGACTCTGCTACGAATTTAAAAGAGTTGCGAAATTAAAGAAAAAAAAACTTTTTTCATGAACGTGTTTGTTGCGACAAGACAGTGTGTACAGGATTGCTGATCTAATTTGTGATTCTTCATTTTTTTTAGCAATTTGGTGAAAATTATAACACAATTACTTGTACAAAAAGAAAAGAAGAAAAAAATAAATTAAACACAAAAAAATCATTATTAAAGAGGCTAGATATTATCTTTCGTAAAATAACCAGTGTCAAAATACCAGTACGATAATAAATGATGTACAAAGGAACACGTGTTTCATTTTTTATGATTTTTATCGCTTTTATTATTTATATATATATACCTTATTTTTAGTCTTTAGTCTCTATGGGGAATTGAGTTACAAACCCTCCCAAGTGAAACGTGTTATATTCATAGTGTATGTAAAAAGTCATTAGTCTTCATTTTATCTTTATTATAAACATACCTTTATATTCACGCACGCGACACTTTAATTAGAGGCTTTTTATTTTAACTAATAATAATAATAATTTCTTTTTGAAATGTGGATATTATTAGAGTCTGGTAGAGTGTGAAACTTAATTAAAGAAAAAAATTTCTTTCTTACTCGATTTGTTTTCTTTTAATTATTATTTATAGTGTAGGAAAAAGTCGAAACAAAATTTCTTACTCTATAGAAAAAGCGAATAGAGTAAAATTCGTAGAAAAAAAATAATAAAAATACTGTTTGCAAAGGAAAAAAGGAATATTTGACAACTTTTACTATTTTCAGAGTAAATTTTATAAAAATAAGTAAAATTCAATCCGGGAATTTTAAAAATTTTATAGAAATTCCAAAAATTTCATTTTTTGACTTTATAAATTATAAAATTAATTAAACTTACTTTCTATTTTTTTCATATGTGGATAATATTTAGCAAAAAGAATGCCTCTTAAACTATTTGATAAAGAATTTTTATAATTTATTTTTACATTCTGATACTACGTTAAAGAAAATTTTTGTAAAAAGTAAAAAATTTTATGAGATATTTTAAAAGAATAGGGGAGAGTGGTCCTAAGTTGGCCGTGGGCCTAAGTTGGCCACCCTGCATTTCTCAGAGATGGTATACTGGACGAATCTATAATTTTGTGGTATGATATATTGATAAACCATGATATAATTTATGGACCTAATTATAATCTAAGATTCTTCTACGCATTGTGAGGACAATAATATTGTTTACGACCAAAAAAATTTAATTTTTCTTGTTTTTTCGAGAGCAGGTACAAGAGATAAATAATTAAAATTTTCTAAATGAGTGTGTGCGCTAGTTCCTTTATTTAATGTTGTAATAAGAGGTTCTGTTGATTTTTTAATTAAATTTTTTTTATTAGCGTAATAATTTGAAACTTGTAAAAATCCACAGTGGTCTTAAGTTGGCCACCTATTGTTTTTGTTTGTTTTCATTTATGTTTTATTTCTTTTTTGTGTTTTTCATCACGAGGAAGACCGTAAAAGTGTAACGTAGGAATTAAACAAAGATAAAAAGCAAAAAAAATGTTTAAAAAACATTAGAAAAGACATAGTACAAAAACGCCTATCTCCACAGCCATCCACCATTGCAAATAAATGAAATAAAATAATGCTTCATTTTCTAAACAAAAATAGTTAAATAATGCGTTTTTATTCTCCTAAATGTATCAAATTTGTAAAATTTCTGCGTAATTGAAAAGAATATGCATTTCTTCCTTAAACACAAGCGAAAAAAGTGGTGGCCAACTTAGGACCGCTATTTCCGAAATGTCCAAAATGCAGCTTTTCACTATTTATTGTATTAAGACTACAAAAGCTATTCTATAACGTTCTAAATACCACAAAATTATAGCAAAACGATCTCTAAACACTAATATATACTTGCCGAAATGATTAAATTTAATTTTGTTACTATTTTCGACCAATTTGCTTAGGCGGCCAACTTAGGACCACTCTCCCCTACTATTTTCTCCCATTTTATAGGAAATAAAAATTAAAATCAAATTTTGCTAGACAATTTTGCTTAATGTTGGGCCTGATCAATATTGTTATTTATAAATCATTTAAACTATTATATTGTCATAAAAAAAATTTTAAATCTACAAAGAAATAATTATTTTTGACCGATTTCCGACAACAAATAGAAAATCTATTTTTAACAACACGGATCTGTAGTATTATTTTTAAATTTGACAACTTTTGAAAATCTATGAAATTTTAATTAACTTTTATTTTCAACCATTTTGTAATAAATTATGCAAAATTTTCATTGATTCAAAAATTTTCGATAAATGCTGCTTTTAAGTTTACAAAATTAAAATTTCCTTTTAATCTGTCACTTGATATTGTCCACAAAAATAAATTGCGCAATAAAATTAAAAATATCAGTTCATAAAATATTTCTTTAAATAAAAGTTTATATGCATTCTTCTACTATTGTGAATAATTTTTTGTTTATTTTCTCTCTGAGATAATTTTTCGAAAATATAAATATATATTAAAAAGAAAAATTGACTTTTAAAAAATAGAAAAATGAGAAGAGAAGAATTTGAAATTACGTTTTTACTAGATTGCTGCCTTTTTTAAAAAATCCTACAATTTTCTTTTCTTTTTTTTGAGAAAAATAACAATAGTAGAAACATGCATATAATTATTCTCGAGGATTTGTACAGAATAGGTATCATGTGGGGTAAAATTTTATATTCAACTTTTTTTCAATTGCAACCGACGGATTATTAAGTTGACAATACAAACTCTTGCTCTTAAAGGGGAAAGTCCTTGAAGAAAAAAAGCATAAAAAAAAACATCTAACCACTTTTATCCCACTATTGCAGAATTCTTGCGAGATTTTGAGATACTTTAACGACTCGAGTTTGTGACAGTCGAGACGGGTAAGTGAACACATCCGGCGCGGTTTCATTTGCTAGCGCAATTTTACACTTCGCTTGATCCATGAAAGCAAGGGGAAAATATTTCTGCATAGCTTAATTTTTTTTGCCTTATTTTTTATTCTCAAACTGAAAAACAAAAATCCCTTTTCAGATGTTTTTCGATAATTGAATGGTGGAAAGTTTTTTTTCTCCTTTCGAAAATGAATGAGACGACAACTTTTCTTCGCGAGTGGGAATTGGAAATTGGTCCTTACACCTAGGTTCTATCTTATATGTCCTTTTATTTAACTACTAACTAGGCTCTAGATTTGCATTTTAGTTAGGTCCTAAAATTGTTTGTGATCCAATTCTAGCCTAATCCTAATTAGCATATCTCGTTGGTGACAATTTAAGGATTTATAATTCTGAACAAGTAATTTAATTAAGCAAGGAACAGGTTTATAATTTTTTACATATTCACAAAAAATTCTTGAATATTGAATTTAACTTGTTTATTAATCCTGAAAATAAAATATCCGCCTCTCCTGGGAATCGAACTTGGAATCTTCATTGCAAAATTATCTTTATCAGGGTTGTCACGAAAATTTAATTTTGTTTTTCCCTAAGATTTCCCTGATTTCCAGATAAAATTTTGAATTTTTTCCTGACTCTAAAGAATATTCTGTTTAACTCTAAAAATTATTATACACTCAAAAAAATATTCTATTACATTTATTTACAAACTTCTTTAATTGGAAACTTATTCGAAAACATTAATAACTTCTTTTTTAAATAAATATTTAATCCTTATTATTTTTCCATAGAAATTAAGATTTTTAAAAATTTTAAATTCAAACCTTTTGAAATTCAATAACTTATAAGAATATTGTTATGAAACATAATTATTTTAATTAATTAAATTAATATATAATTAAAGATGATGGAGCCATAAAATCATTATTTTATACCTAATTTGCCTATAGAATATTGTTACTGTAACTTCTTAAAAATTATTTTCATCATTTCAATTCAATTATTATTTTCTACAATTTAAGAAAAAAAAGACAAAAATTCTAAAAATGACATATTTTTGGTAATTTTCAAAATTTTTTAAAAATATTTGGTGGAGTTGTTTATCACTATAAAAGTAATAAATTTACAAAAGTACAGCCAAATTCCAACAAGTCATGAAAATTAGTGCGTTGAACTGACGTGGAATCCACCAATAATTGAATTCCTAAAAAGAATTTTATTATTTTTGAAAATAATTGAATTATTTCGAAGAAATTTATTAAAAAAAATTGTAAATAATTGAATTCTTATAAAATTTTTATGATTTATGAAAATAATTAAATGTTTGCGTAAAAATTTATTACAAATTTTTTTAAATGATTCAAATTTTGACAAGAATTTTATTAAAATTTTTGAAAATGATTGAGTTTCAGAGAAGAATTATAATAGGTATTTATAAAGATAATTGAAATTTTTGCTGATAATATTTAAAAAAATTTTAAATATAATTGAAATTTTGAGAAGAATTTTATTACTTTTGAAAATAATTCAAAATAATTCATATAATAATTCAAATTCTGCGATGATTTTTATTACCTATGAAAATAATTAAATTATTGGGAAGAAATTTTTAAAAAATTTGTAAATAATTGAATTCCTGTGAACTTTTTATTACATATTTATGAAAATAATTAAATGTTTGCGTAAAATTGACAAGAATTTTACTAAATTTTTGAAAATAATTGAAATTTTGCCAAGAATTTTATTAAAATATTTGAAAATAATTGAATTTTGGAGAAGAGTTTTAAATCAATATGATAGTTCTTGAGGAATGAAGTTATTTAAAAAGAAATTATTGTCAGAAATAGAAAAAATTAAAGGTTTTTTAATAGAATTCGTGGTAATTTCATAGTTTATGAGGCAAACTAAAAATTCGTAAATTTTTATAAATTTAAAAATTTAATTTTTTCCAGTACTTTTAATAAAAATCCCTAACTTTTCCATGAATTTTCTTAACTTCCCCGACCTGTGGCAATCCTGCTTCATGCACTAAAACTCTGGAAAATTTAATTTCTTCTATCAAGGTGTAAACAATTAAGAATATTTATTGCATAATTTAGAATTTTCTTCTAATAATAAGAAATTTAAGCAAATGTATAATAGATAGTATAGATATTGTAACTATTGTGTTTAAAGACAAATGAGAATTAATGTTATACATGTTTCTTATTTTTAACTTCTAATTGTTAAAAAAAATAATTAATTAAACAAATTATAAAATATTGAACATTTTTGAAATGTTTTTAATCAATTTTTGCAAGTTGATTAAAGAAATTTGACAGACTCTTAATATTATTTTCAAAGGTAAACTA